TATTAATAAAATAAATATCAATTATTCATAATATATATATATATATATATATATATATATAAATGAAGATTTTTTTATATTATTTTTTAATTTATATTTATATATTAAATATCATGTTACTCAGCTAGATTACAAAACAATATTAAAATTTAACAATTAATAAACATCAAATTGATGATATGATTATAAATTTATATTTTTAAAAATAGAAAGATTAAATATTTTTATTTAAAATAAAGAGACCAAAATTCTATATCAACAAAAATAAAAATATCAAAAGTATAATTTAGATTTTAGTTTATCACATATTAGCTTAGTCGATTGACTGATAAAATTAATATTATTGGTGAAAAAACTGACGAATTTAAAAAATTAAAATGAATTTTTTAAAAGCTATTGCACATTCCTTTTCATTAAGCTATTGATAATCGTCATTATACCAGTTTATTTGTAGGAGAGTTTGGTATATTTCTATTAAATTTGTTAATATTTTGGTACTAAATTCTACTTATTTACTCTTATTTATTGCAGAACTGATAAGAACAAATATTACTGTCACGAAGGGATTAGTTTATTTTGAAAGAGGGTAACACAGATGGAAACAAAAGAAAGAACACTTTGACTCAGTTATTTGTCTTTTTATCCCTATTTCAATGAACTTTGCCTGTGAAACGTGTGGTGCTAAATGAATTGGAGGATTCTGACCTCATTAACTTTATTTTAATATATAAAATGCCCTTGTTCACATCTAAATAAAATACCAGCCACCATTGGTACAGTGTACATCATAAATGTTTTAACTGAAAAAGTCAGAAAATTTTAATTAATGCATATTCTTAATGTAAAATATTTTTTGGTAAAACATATTTTAGGTTCTTCAATTTGGGGTCAAATTTGACCTTAATTTCAGTATTTTAAAAATGATAATTGTGGTTATGAATTTCATCTCTCACCTTATATATCATCTTAAGTTTCAATGTTTCATGAAAAGTAAGAGGGTCAAAATGATCATTCTTTTTAAATATAAAAGATTAAAACTAATGTTGAGTGAGAATAAAGAGACCTAAAACATAATTACCCAATATTTTATATAGACATTTAATAAATTATCTCTTTATATTAAGTGTACCCAACTCCATTATAATTGTCTTTGGTTAAAAATATACGTGATTTTAAAAAAAAAATATCTCTAACGTGGAGAAAACTAGGGTTAGCATGAAGCACCCAACACGCATCATACTTGGTATGCTAAATCATTGTTTCTTCATCCTTTTTTATTTAATAGTATTATCTCCAATCTGAATACAAGCTACTATACCACCCACAGTTTCTTAGAGAGAGAGAAAAAAAAAAAAACAAAAAAAAAACCTTTTTTTTTTTTCTAACTCATCCCAAGAATTGTACTCTATTTCTCCTTTGACTAGCAATTTCAATGAAGGTTTTGTTTTTCTTCTAATCAACAGTGCACTTCCAAATATGACCATAATAATTCTTGCCCAATCCACAAAATAATATCTTTTGAAGGATAACCAAGCTTTCGAAAAGTACCTTTCTGCGGTTCTTAAGGAAAAAGACAGTTTTAAAAAAATAATGGACTATTTAGGGATAATGCATGAACATGAGAATTAAGAAAAGTAAAAGTTTTGTGTCCTTTGCTGCAACCAAAGATCACTATCCGTACACAATTTCTCTGCACCACAATCACCCCTAATGCATTATTAACAAGGGTCGCTTGGTTCATAAGCAAAGCTTCATTAATCACATTCTATTAGCAAAAACTTACTATTTACTATTTACCACCAAAGTTTATTGCAATTTTCATGTGATTGAGTCTCTTAAACATACTTTAAAGGATTAACATCTTAATTGTGTACCACCAAATATAGTTGATATGAGTGGAACTTGTTTGATATCTTAAAAAAGAATCTCGTGTTTAAAATAGCAAAAATATGACTAATTGAGAGAAAAAATAATACTTGTTAAATCAAATTTTTCAATAAAAATTAATTATCGCCAAAATTAAAAAATATTTCACACTCATAATATGATATCAAATTATAGAAAAATAAAGAAAAAATAATTAAAAATATAACCAAATTGGTTCCTGAATTTAGAAAACTTTGTCATATTAGTCACTAGAATTAAAATTTTGTTAAATACATCCCTGAAAATGCAAATACACGATTATATTAGTCCAAAATTAAAAAAAAAATTAAATTCATAATATTATATATATATATTTAACAACAAAATTAAATTAAATAATTAAATTTAAAGAACTATTTGGTATTCTAAAAATAGTTTCAAATTCAGCACCAAAATAGGTGTTTCCTCTTATTTTAATCACCTTGACGCATAGATAGAACCGGTATTGATTCTAAGTTAAAGAGTACTATTGACCAAAAAATAAAATAAAAAATAAAAAAGCTAGCAACTGCTTGCTAGTAATATGTGCTTAGTTTATTTTATTTATCGTTTAATTTTTTATGTAGTTTCTTCAAGTTATTATTTTGTCTAAAAATAAATAAATAAAAGCGACACTGCATGCTTCTCTAAATTAGTACTTATATGCAGTTATTTTCAACTTTAATTTTAAGAAATTAGAAAGTCTATTAATATAAAAAGTATACAATTATCCACTTTCACTATTCAATATGCAAAGCCAAAGTTAGATCCCAAGACTAAGATTTTGATTATTTCAAGTTCAAAGAGTTTAGTGGTCAACGGCAAGAGAATGAAAAATCATGGTAGCAATGGACCCCCTTGTGTCATCAAGGTATAATCGTTATATTGTGGAATACAAAGGGTGGTTACTGAACATGACACTGCATAAATATGTCACAGATGAAAGACAAAATAACAATCTTTGCTTTCTATTCCCAACACACTTTCTTTTCTCATCTGTGTTCGTGTGTATATTTTTGAGTTCAGAGCCAAACTCAAGGTGCTGTTTGCTGAAGGATCTCAACCTTGGATTTGGATCAGCAAAATTTGAGTTACACGTATGCCCTTTTGCCTTTCATGATTTTCTGAACTTTCTAGTCCCAAAACTACTTTGATTGCAATAGGCACAGAATTCTAGAAAAATTATCATCTGAAATGATGTGTGTCATCATTGAAATAACATGTTTTTTCACTTTTAACTCTTGATAGATGTTGTACCTTGAAAAGGGTTGATCATATATAGTTTGAATTTCCACTCTGGAAGCATAGTTTTTTGACACAGTAACCTCTCCAAGGCAATATTGATATCAATAAACTACCATGCCTAGAAAAGTTTGTTAGCTAGCTACATAGAGGAATTATAGTTTATAGTATAATGATGATGACTTTTTTGTGTGATTTTCAGGTTATTGCAAGATGAGTGTTATGTATAGTCCTGTTCTCAAGTACTCTGATGTGGAGATTCAGCTAAGGAAAAACCAAGAAGTGGATTCAAGCTTTGGACATCCACAACAACACTGTCACCAACCCAATTCTGGACTATTGAGGTACTGTTCTGCTCCAAGCTCATTGCTGGCAAGCCTTGTTGACAACACCATTCATGAGGAATCATTCAGAAGTGAGAATCATCAGCACTATCTTCCATCCACAAGTTCAGAAATGGAGACCATGTTGTCCAAATTGGTGTCATCCAACAATGAATGGAGCAATTCAGAAGGTTTGCAAGAAGAATTTGGAGGCAAGCCTGTGAAGCAGGAAATAGGAGAATCTGTTCCACAGCAGAATGGTTATCCTTATGGTGAGTCTCAGTTAATTTACCACCAAACTCAGCAAATTCAAGGCTTGCCAAATGGTTCTTCCAATGCTTTTGATGGCTCTTTTGGTGTGGTGAACTCCATTCAGTCTAAAATTGGTGTCAGGAATTGCTCCAATCTCTTAAGGCAAAAGAGCTCCCCTGCTGATTTTTTCTCCATTGAAAATGGTATGATTTTTCTCTTGCTTTCTAGCTAGCTATCCTTTTATGTAAATTATTTTTTTTCCTATTGTTTATTAATGTTTCCTCATGTACGTGAAAAAGATATGGTATGGCTCAAATTGAAACAATTTTCCTGTATGAAAACACTATCAAAATCAACACCATATAAATGAATATCAATCCCATGTCTGATCTTAGATTTATGGAACTCTTTCAAAATAAATACACCTTTCAAGATACTTATTGTTAAATCAAATAAGACCCCTCTTTTCTGATGTAATGAAATTAGAATAAAGTAATTGAGAGTTAGGTTTTGATATTATTCTTGCATAGAATGAGAAGCATATTAGGTGAGAGGTATAAAGGTTAGAGTATGAGAGAAGCTAATCTTAATCATAGAATCAAATTAAACAGTCAAGATAGATTTAAGTAAATCATTGTGTATGATGCATTATCAAAATTAATTTCTCTCACCACTCATTAAATATGCTCCCTGTGTACTTATATATGCATAAGAAATTTCTCATAATAATAAAAAGACGTAGTGTTTAGTGTTATGAATACTTTTCTATTTATTATAGATCTTGCAGCATTGAGAGAAGTAGGAAGCTTTAAAGCCAATGATGTCTCAAATGGACAGGCTAATGCATCAACTAGTGGATTGCATGGAACTCTTGCTTTCCCTTCTAGGCCATCCTCATGCTTGAAAAGGATGCCACAAATAGCTGAAAATGGAAATGAAATTCTAGAAGAAAATTGTGACCAAAGTAGAAACATAGAAAATGACAATGGTAGCTCAAGATGTTACATTCCTAGCTTCACCAGTGAATTCTGGGACAGTTCTGCATTCAATGCTCCCAAAACAGAAAGTGAAGATGAAATCATGTTTTCCACTTCAAATGTTTTGGAATCTCAGGTACATGACAGTTTGTGAATTTACTTTTAAGTTCCAACCAATTGAACTTTTTTTTTTTTTTTCCATTGTTGTTCACTGAAAATTGTTGTCAACGTCAGGAAGCAGATTTCAGCTATCAAAATCTTGGTTTGACTCACCATTTGAGTCTACCTAGTTCTTCTACTAAGATGTCATCCATAGAGAAGTTTCTTCAAATTCAAGGTTCTGTTCCTTGTAAAATTCGAGCCAAAAGAGGCTTTGCCACTCACCCAAGAAGCATTGCAGAGAGGGTAAATTTCTATCACAGCTAGCAATTACAAATCTCTAGTCAGTTTGTCACTTTGCCAATATTACTAAGGGTCTGTTTGAGTAAATTTTTCCAAAAGGTACTTATAGGAGAAAAAAGAAATAGAAATGAAAAATGAAAAAAAATTTTATAGACTAAAATTAGCTCATGAATAAACTAATTTTAACTCTTTCCTGTTACCTTCTTTAACAATTTTGTTTCTAACTTATGCATAAGTTGGTTTTAGTTCATAAAAAAGTTTATTTCGATTTTTTTTATGTTTCTTTCTTAGAATTCTTTTTTGAAAAATTTATACAAACAAATCTTAGCTAGACAGTGTAACCTAACTGTTTCATATTTGTTGTCATCAAATTTTAGGTAAGGAGAACAAGGATTAGTGAAAGAATCAAGAAATTGCAAGGCCTTTTCCCAAAATCAGATAAGGTAATCAATCTAACTCTCTCACAACTCACAAACACATCACATCTTGATTGAAATTTAACTTGACACTTTGAAAATTGATGATAACTTTATACTTCTTTCCCTTGGCAGCAAACAAGCACAGCAGATATGTTAGATTTGGCAGTTGATTACATTAAGGACCTGCAGCAACAAGTTAAGGTACAAGAAAACTACAGTTCTTCCCATAAATTCTGAAGAGAAAAAAAAAATTAAACTCCACCAAAGTTTATATATATAATCTAACTGAATTTCTTTCACCTCATGCAGGTACTCACAGATTGCAAGGCAAAGTGCAAATGTACAAGTAATGAGAAGCATTACACTAGAACTTGTTCCTGATTTGTTTACATGTAGATAGCAAAAGAATATAGGATTTTTGAGTGTGCCAAAGTTAGCAATTGTAATTATATAAAATAATGCTGACATTTGCCTGGTGTGAGTTAGATCCAGGTGAATATTTTTTTCACTTTTCCCCTTATTTTCTTTCCTTCATAGTTTGATTTAAGGACACCATAGAGTCCTAGCACGTTTGGCAGAAGTTTTATCGGGTAACGTAGTTGTTTGATACAAACTTTGATACAATGTTTAATACTGAATTTTATATGCGATTCAGCTTTCAATATATGAAGCCAAGAATATTAATTCGCTGCCAAATTTTCTCCTTTCATTTTGACTCAAGGTGCCAAGCTAAGGATGCTCTAAGAAACATTAGTGTTATGAAAATAACATAAAACTATAATATAAAAGTAATATAGAAAAAGGTGAGAAAGAACAAAGAAAGCAACATAAGTGAAAGAATGGAAAGTTTTTGTCTTATTTTACACAATGAAATAGTTTATTTATATACATTAATCATAACTAACAATTACAAATAAGATAATAATATTAAGGCGAAATATAATCAGTAATAATCACCTATAAATATTCATAACATACAAGAAAAAAAAAGTTTCAACTACGTGATATATAAAACTTGAAGCACCAACTGTGACATTGATATCTAAACACATCTTTTCCAGTTTCTTCTTATCACACAGCATTTTAATTACTATGGCAACTTATCATTCATTTTCCTTCTTTTACCTATTTTCTCAACTTCTTATCCCTTCAATTTTCCAAATTAATGAAAATTATGCAGTTTTATTAGGAATATATCATAGACAATAGTGACTCAAAATAATAATTCATCAAAATATTGTTAATTAGAACACAGTCTTGTATAATTCTCTTGCTAAAAACTCAGAACTATTTCATTTTTTCTGTCACATTTGAAAAACCACAAATTCATTTTAAGAGTTCAATTTGCTGCATGGTTAATATAAAAAATTTCGCTATAAACTAAATAAAAATCATCATACGTACACTTTAAAAATAGTTATCATGAAATTATCAATCTTATTATAAATGACGGTTTACAAGTTAACAATGGTGTAACAGAATATTTAAATTAAATTCTTCATTTCTATATATTAAATATGAATAAATATATTATGCAAGAGCATTTTTATGGACTTTTCTCTAAGAAGTTCATTTTTTAAGCATTTCTTCTTAGCGAGATATTTTTAGATTTTTTAACTTTTTATCTATTTAAATTTATGTTTATCATATTTATTTTTAAATTTAATTTGAATATTTTTATAATAAATTATCAATAATTAAAATAATCTTACATCACAACATAAATTATTTATCATAAATTTAAAATATGGTTTATTTGTCTAATTTATATGTTTAAATATAATATTTAAATAAATATAATATATATATATATATATATATATATATATATTTGAAAAAGACACCATAAAAAAATATAGTTCCCTACAATTTGAAACTACTCCTTTCAAAAACTGAATAAATAACTCTAAATTATTTGCGGAATTCAAAGTATATGGCTTAATGTTAAAAGTGTTTTATTTTACTATTATCATAATCATAATATAATGATAAGGAAAAGATCGGTTGGTGTAAAATTTTCTACACTATCAACAATTAAAAATATTCTAAAGTAATTATCCTAAAAGTAAACAATCTTATCGTGTTTAGTAATTCATGGTTGGACAATGATATAGAAAATATTTGGATAAAGTTACTTTTAGTCTCGAAATTTTTTAAATGCTCTTAATCTTTCAAAAAAAAATTGTATAAATTAGTCCTCTAAAAATAAAACATGTTGAAGTGAATTCTTATTTACATTTTTATAGAAACCGGCCTTGTTTAATACTTATAATTAAATTCAAAAAACAAATCCAAAATTTAATTTCTTAAAAAAATATCAGGGGATTACTAAAGCAAAATAAAGTCTGGTCCCTGATAAACTAATTGCAAAAATTGATTTGTGAATTAAATTTAAAGCTAAAATAAGATCAAAATAGAGATGGTAAATAAACACCTTGTGAATTGTGACATGCATTAGAAGTGGTTCCATATCTTGAAACTTTAACAACAGCTTATCAATGTGGAAAACTAGAAGCCTCTCCTTAGCTAGGCACCTCACTTTATTTTAGTCACTTCTTCAAGTCAAGCCATCTTACACCATGCGATTTTCCTTTATTCCAAATTTGCTTTTGCCCACTTCACTTCTTATTTGTTTTTTTCCTAATTTCTATCAAAGTGTTTGGGTTGGCGTTGAACTCCCAAAAACGCATGTTAAACTTAAAACAATCCTCTCCTTGCTTCTAGGTTTTTCGCCTTAGAAAGTGGAAAATGTTTGTGGTGCTTCAAACCCTTTCCCAAACATGCACTATGTCTATTTTGTCTTTATTGTTGGTCAAGTATGAAACTGTACAATATTTTTTGAGTTAATCATTTATACACTGTCAATGTAAAGTTTTTTTACACTAACAATCAATTATATCTCTTAATTGTGTCATGTCACTGTAAACACATTTACTTTTAACAGTGACATGACACAATTAAGAGATATAATTGGTTGCCAGTGTAAAAAAATTTTACACTAACAGTGTATAGGTGATTAACTCATATATTTTTCCTGAAAATGGTTTGGAGCCTAGATCTCATAAGAGTCAAAGAAATATATCAAATGTGGATAAGTCAAGTGGTTCGACACTTGTGTTTTTTAATAAGAGTTAAGATTCAATCTTCAACTTGAATAAGTCATAGCTGAAAGTATTATTTTATTTTTGTTAAGATTGAACTGTTGAAAAAAAATTATACTTCCTTATTTACGAAAAAAAAAATGTCTTAATAGTCAATCATGGTTTTAACACCAAAAGTATGAAGAAAAAAAAAACATCAAATATGTATTGCCTGTTACTATATGAAAAACTGATAATTTTACTTTACAATCATGTCTCTACAAAACAAGTAGAATCGTGTATAGTAGAAATGCAACTGAGTAAAAAGCGCTAAAGTTGTTTCGTTAAATTGTAACGACCCGACTAGTCACTACACACAACACAGCACACCAGAACACCACACAGAAAAGAACAAGTATATACATATAGGGTCTAGAATATATATATACAAGGTCCAAATCTGGTTAGATTAAGAGTGTACAAAATACACCCAGCAAATGTTAAACTAAGTAGCTAAATACATCAAAAGAATAAAACTCCATCTGCCAGCTGCAGACTCTCCTCAGCAAACGCCAACCTAACCCTGCTCTGCTCCCATACATAGTATGATCATCACAGTCCAAACCACATGAAAATAACAAAGGGTAAGTGATGGAAAACTTGTTGAGAATCTGGATTGATGTGAATCCTCTTCAAGTTCCTCCCTAGATCTTCGGCTCCTTGATTCTTCCTAAGCTTTGCTAAGGTCTCCAAAGGAGGAGGAGACCTTAGAACCACCACGGTTTGGTGGAGAACTCTCCCATTCCTAAGCTTTGCTAAGGTCTCCAAGGGAGGAGGAGACCTTAGAACCACCACGGTTTGGTGGAGAACTCTCCCAAGAGGCGCCACTCCTTGATGAAGAGATAAGCCTCTTCAATTCTCACCACACTCTTCTAGTGAAGGGATAAGAGAATTGGATGAATATCAAAGAGGTTTAGGAACTTTTAGAAGAGAGAAATCTGAACAATTCTTCAGAAAATAATTCTCAATATCTCAAAAAGTGTCTTACAATGAAAGGAAAACAAGTATATAGGAGTAGGAAGCTTGGAGAGTAAGCTAGTCTTAACCATGGTTCACTAGGAACCATGGTAATGTCTAGCTAACCACCCATGGTCTAGAGGCTTGAAGAGCAAGCTTCTCACTTAGCTTGCTTTGTAAGCAAACTAAGGAGAAGCTTGTGCTTCAAGCTTCTAAGCTTGAGAGGAGCCAAGCAATCCGGCCAATGTGAACACAACTAAGGTGGGCGGCATTTTGGACTTAATTTACTCCAACCGGTTTTGAAAATGCTAATTTGGTTTAGTTAGGTTCATCCAATGTGAATGGAACCTAGCTAAATCAAATCTATGAAAAATTAGGAGTAAAATGAGTCCAATATGTAAAATTTTTGCCTAGGACCACCTCTTGGCCCAATTGCTAGTAACACTCTCTAGCTTGCTAGTGACACTTTCTAGCTTGCTAGTGACACTCTCTAGCTTGCTATTGCCACTCCCAATCCTACTACTAGAAAACTAAGAAAAGAGTATATTTCTAGGTTAGGTTAAATGGAGTCAAAGTAGCCAAGTAACCTACCCTAGAAACAATATACAATAGCTACTAAAAGGAAATAAAGTGCATCTCAAATACAAAGGCAAAAATACACCTATACAAGTATCTACTATATACAAGGTACAAGAAATCAACTATACAAGTATGTACAATGGAAACTCAAGAGACTAATAAGAGGAATCATAATCAATGCTCATGAAGAGAAAAGGTCTAAGAAGCACCTCCTTTGTAGAAGCCTCCTCTAGCTTCCTAACCATGGACCTAGTCAAAGGTCCAATGGCCTTCATGTATACATCCTCCTTGGATGGTCAGTAAGCTAGTGAAAAGAATCAACATGCATATATAAAAATATGAATAATAAACAGCTACAACTATCAACACATCAGTCAGCTTAACAAACATCAGCTTATAATATATCACAACATTCAGCAATAGCAGCACCGACTTAACGGCTATAACAGCATCGACTTAGCGGCTATAACAACACCACATTAGTGGCTATAACAACACCGACTTAGCGGCTATAACAACATCGACTTAGCGGCTATAACAGCACCACATTAGCGGCTATAACAACACCGACTTAACAGCTATAACAGCACCAACTTAGCGGCTATAACAGCACCGACTTAGCGGCTATAACAACATCGACTTAGCGGCTATAACAGCACCACATTAGCGGCTATAACAACACCGACTTAACAGCTATAACAGCACCAACTTAGCGGCTATAACAGCACCGACTTAGCGGCTATAACAACACCAACTTAGCAGCTATAACGGCACCGACTTAGCGGCTATAACAGCACCACATTAGTGGCTATAATAGCATACAGCTCAGCACAGCACAGCAATATCAGCATCCAGCACAGCAATATACATCAAATACAGATTTACATCATAATGCAGCATAAACATCTCACAGCACATCAAAAGTCATCACTCTGCTCAACAATATTCGTCATTAATAGCTTAAATTAGCATAAACAACATTCGGCGCAGCTCATCTTAACATCTAAC